GCAATGACAGCCACAAACATTACAGCAGACAGACGGGAAGAAAACAAGTCATCAGAATACATGAACATCAACTAGCAGCAAAACAGCACGACAAACTCTCCTTAATATCGGTACACTCAGACAATGAAGGCCATCGGTTTAACTGGGACAAGGTAACCATAGTAGCCCAAGCCAAACATAGACACGCACGGGAATTTCTAGAGGCATGATTCTCCACCTGTAATGCTATCAACAAATATATAGAATTAGACTCCAAGTGGAGTAGAATAACACTGCTTCATCAGAGGCTGCACTGATGATGTCACCTAGCATAGTGACGAAATGTCTGAACGAGAACAAGCCAGTTTGGCGAGCAAGTCAACAGCCTCACCCACAACTTGAGCTACAGATCTTTGCCAAAACAAAAAGTTGGGTTATTTTCTCTGGAGCAGCGGAGGCTGAAGGGAGACTTGATAGAAGTCTATAAAATTATGAGATGTGTAGACAGGGTTGATGGTCAGAATCTTTTTCACAGAGTTGAAATGTCTAAAATTAGGGAGCATGCATTTAAGGTGAGGAGAAGAAGTTCAAAGGAGATGTGAGGGGCAGGTTTTTTACACAGAGAATGGTACGAATCTGGAACGCACTACCAAGGTAGTGGTGGAGACAAATACAATTTGGGTGTTTGAGGAACTTTTAGACAAACACATGAATATGCAAGAATGGAGGGATATGGACCAAGGGCAGGCAGAAGGGATTAGTTTAATTTAGCAATGTTCAGCACAACACTGTGGGCCAAAGGGCCCATTCCTGTGCTGTACAGTTCTGTGTTCTGTGTTCTACTACCCTTTTACAAATATTCAATCCCAGAAATATGTCACTCGTAATTCAATTATTAATGTCTTACTTAACTAATACTTCAATTTTTTTTTTTCTTGACGTGCCCAAACATTTTCTTGATTCTTTTCGGGCCTTCTGGCATGATTCTTTCTCAGTTCAATGGCGTATTCTTTTTCAGTTCCAATAATTTGAAGACTGCAAACCCTCACAGCTTAGAAGCTTCATGAATTCAAAGCAATTTGGCTCGAGTGACTGGTTCCCATAGACTGAAAAGTTGATTCTCTTGAAAGAAGAAAACTGTTCTCTCTCCTGAACTGAATTCCTGATTCTTCTAAATTGAAGTCAGAAGCTAAATGGAGATGGCCTTTGGTTCGTTGTAAACTCAGCAAAATAAACATTCCATTCATGAACACCACAGGTGTCCTGCCAGGCTCTTGAGTGAAGCTATGTGTAATCTGGGACATGGTGTGTCAAATGACTTACTGACTATTTTAAAAAAAAGTAATAGAATTGACAAAAATCTATCTGCCACTACTCTAAAATCCAAATCCTAAATGGTAATACATCTTTCGTCGCATCTTTTAATTAAGAATGAAGGTCATCAGCATGTAACACATCACTTGCTGTAGACTTCACTAATCTTTAACATCAATACAATCCTGCAAACAGTTTGATTAACTTAACAACAGCCAGTAGAAATCAATCATCAACTAACCAATGTTAGTAACTAATGAATCCTTAAGATTTTACTGACAGGGTTCTTTCTTGTCATTGAATGCATGATTAACTGTCTGAAGTTAAGATGAGGCATTAATTGGAACATTCAAGTTAAAAATGGCATCACTAGATTCACATTGCTACTGGAAGCTGACTGACATCCTGATTTGCCTACTATGCATATATCAGATATATTACCAAAATGGCGTTTGGTGTGAGCACTAACAGCAATATACACATGCACTGCAGACCTTTCTGTGTCCTAAAAGTGATGTCTGTAGCACCAAAAATACAAGTATCACAGAAATAAATTTTGCAGCCTTTATCTATTCAACTAAAAGAAATTTATTTGTGAAACTAACACCATTTTATCAAACGCATTTGGTTATTAATATTACACAAGGTGATTTCAACTCAAAAATAATAACAAATTAGTTGTGTCAATTGGTTGTATGATATAATTAGAAATTCCCACTGACAGTCATACCAAGTAGCCTTTGGCATGTGAGCTTCTGCAAACTGATAGTCAACAACGGCTTATGATTTTTGATGCATTCCTTCCTTATGCTTTTGGTTCTCGAACCCTTGCTACGTCTTTAAATAGGCAGAGCTAATAGTTGCATTCAGATGTAAGAACAAAAATACTCCTATTTTCTACATTATAATTAAACATTTCCAAAAGTAGAAATGTAAGATTCTGCTTGGAATCTTACTGAAGCAAACAAACATACTTTTGTAGTGAATAACCAGATTTAAGGACAACCAAAATTCACTTAAATCTGAGGCTGAAAAGTAATCTCCTCTTGTAATCTGTTTTGGATGCTGACAAAATTGTTGGTAATGCTACATCTTGAATCAGCTGCTGAAAGCACACTGTCACCACACTGCTCCCTGCTGGACTGCTGATGATGCATATTTTTTTCCAATCAAATGAACAGAGAATCTGTTGTCAACCTGACTGCAGATTTTAGGCATAACAATACAGGTGAAATTTGTGAGTGAGGAAAAAGAATTGAAAAGTTTTTTTCAGTTTCACTGCCTTTGCTATTTGTCAACAGTTACTGTCACCAGCAGGGTCCAGGAATTTGACAGAGATAACCCTGGAACCATGGATCACGATTGCTTTCCTGTAGATTTTGCCCACGTACTGACAGGCACAACATGGGTCTAAGAATCAGCTTTATGCAATGGTCTATAATGCTGAATTGGCTCCATAATCCAATTGATATTTTAAAACAATTTCTTAAAATTTTGGTTCTCATTGCATGGGAATCTCTTTCTCATCTTCAGATAGGCTTCTGTCCATTTCTGGAATGTGTGTACAAATCACAGTGTGCCAGGTGTTTTCAGCAGTAATTTCCACATGGAATCTCGCTTTCAATCTACTACCACTGTCTTAACAGGTCATCCTGAGAAACAAGGGAACCAACTAAAAAACATTTGTCACCGCCCAAGTATGGCAATAGTTTGGGTGATCTTCAGCTGAGGTTTTCATGAATTATTCTGAACCAACAGTCACAACTTTAACTGGTACACTGAAAAACTACTATAACTACAAAATAGATGGTACTGAGAGTTGGGTTGCATTGAGCACCAGAGTGTTTGCAGATGTCATGCAACACCTCCTGGTGTTAATCAAATGTGAACGTATGTGGATGGCCATGGAAAACCTGCTGAGCAATGAGTTTTTTTGTGTTTCTAGAACTGGTGCCTCCTCAGACAAGGTATTGTCAGTTGTGTGATGTTCTCCTGCTGTTTTATGATACCCTGAGCCTGTGTAGTCATATTTAACCTGCTGTTTTCTGAGTCTCAACTTCTAGTACAATTTAGTTAGAAGTTTGATTTTAGTTGCTGTTAATTTGATATTTGTCAGGCACAAACAGTCATCAAACAGTTAGATTGTAATTGTGCACATTTGCACTCCAAAATGGACAAGCCAGCCTGTCAGCGAGGTAGAGTTTGCACAATAGTTTAGGAATAGTATTTTAAATGTCAAATGCCCTGAGACCCACTTCCAGAGGTATAGTAAAAGAATATATATAGCAATTAACATCAACAGTAACTGTACACATCATCTTATTGAATGACATGGTATCCATTACTTGGGGCTTCTTAACATAACTGAGACTGGCGCTTATTTCAGTGTGGTAGCAATTTTAAAATTACACTACAATATTTGTCGAGATGCTGAGTTTTGTTATTAGCTCAGAGCTTCCCCCAAGGGCACAAATTTACCATACAACACCTCACCAGGAGCCACCATTGAGTTAGATTGGAAGAGAGGTAGGAGCAGATCACCAGTATAACCTCCTTGTAATAGCTGTTTATAGTGGCAGTTTGTGAAAATTGAACTTTTTAATTATGTCTAAATGTGGTTTGTATTTGGGAAGAATGAAATAGTTGGCCAAAAATCCATGATTCAGAAAATTGACTTGGATTGTATTTCTCAGTGTCCTTCCGCCCTGACACAGTCACAGTTTAACAGATCTAGGAAGGAGCTCCCAAATTAGCATGGGTCTAGCAAGTGCCTCCCTTGCTAGTAGAGCATCTTAGGCACCCACGAATCAATGTTGCCAGTATTCTACCACTTCTCCCTCAGAAACCATTGTTTATTCTATTATGGGATGTAGGTGTCACTGGCAAGGCCAGCATTTGTTTCCCATCCCTAATTGCTGTTGAACTGAATGGCTTGCTTGGCCACATTATTCCCCCTCCCGTACATAACAGCAGTTCCCTCAATTTATATTTTTATTTTCCCTATACAGGCCATTCAGCTAGTTGGACTCACCTTCTGAAGAACATCTTATTTGCCAGACCGTACGAGCTTCCATTTTGTGCCAGGTTTCTAATAGGCAGAGGAAGTTGGAACTCCCACTGTTGGCTACTCCCCTATTCCCACCAGACTTGATATGAGTGGTTTCCAAAGGGACAGACAGATACTTTGTCCCTTACTAAGTAGGATTTTTGAACTTAACGCAAGGTGGTGTTGGGCTAGGTGATGGGGTATCTAGCATTTCTGAGCACTCTCTGAGCTGGAAGTGGAACTAATTCAATTTGTCTTTCAAAGAGCCAACACAAAGTCAAATAGCAAATTATATCCTATGTATTATTTTATGAAAGTATAAAAAGCAGCAGCCAATGTTGAGGTTGTGTCACTGTTGACTGTAGCTGCTGTTCGAAGGCTATTGTACAGCAGGTGTTGTTGACAGTAGTGCAGATCATTGTGGCCTGTTACGCATCCCACTACAGTAAGAAAACCAATGTAAGAGTTATTAAGCATGATGATTTCGGGTTGCTGGATGGACAACTGTGATATTTTCACCTTCTGTTCTTGATTGAGCTCAACTAACAAAGTTCAGAAAAACCAAGCCACCTAGATAAGTGCCAGGTCATTTTTAAAAATCTTGACACAAATGTAGAAATCTCAGACTCTGTTTCTAATTTTGCATATCTTTTCCCTACAGTTGGTCAGTGGGCTACTGCAGTTCTGTTTCTATACATTTGTGGAATCAAAGGCACTGAAAATTGAGTTCCCAGATATGCTGGTGGAAATCATCAATGACCAGTTGCCAGAGGTCACAGCAGGAATGACCAAATCCCTTTTTTTTCACAAGAAGTGATCCTTTTAAAGTTAAACTTTGCCTTAAATTTTCCTCCTCATGTTTTGCTGGCTTTAAAAATTATTTTAGCAGGCTTGGTGTCCTGTACGTCGCTACACACTAAAGAAATGCTTAATGAAGGTTTGGGACTGCTATAATGTGGAACTGTATCAATGAGATGAAAATGGATATATTCAAAGGTTAAAAGGAGGCCGGGGAAAAGTATTTTTTGAAAGAAATATATTTTGGCAGGAAAATTGTAATACAGTCTCTTTTCTAAAGGTAATCTTTTTGTAAAGTGAAATGTTTCTGCATGCATAAACATCTGACGTTTACAGTGTATTTAAGAAAGGGAAAGCTGTGCCTTTTTAGTATCATATCTAATTTAACCATTTTACAGCATTTGCTGTAAATAAACCAGATATACTAGCTGACTCATATTAAATATTTCTTCTATTTTGTAATTAATTTTATGTTAATTAATTTTTCCCCTTTGCCCGTCAGTAGCGTCTTTTGCTTTGTAACAATATCGCTTCTGCTCACTGTTAAGATGCTTTTCAAGTTCCATCCTGTTGTTTTGTGCTGTAGCAATAGGGAAGTACTGGATAAAATGGCAAAAAGGTGCATATGGCTTACTTTTCTTACAACTTTCCAATAAATAAATCAAGTAGCAGGGTTGAACCATGCCCTGATAATCCTAGGTCCTTTTCAACCTTTTTAGAATTGTCTAATAATTTTCTGTGCTTTGCTATAAAGTTCTGTATATTATGCTGTTGGAGTCCTGATGTAGCACTTTTGGTAATCCATACACTGTACTTAGCCAAATGATATGCAGAATTATAAAATAGTTCTAAATAAGTTGATTTATATTTCCATGGAAGCACTTAAGCATCTACATTTGTGTCAGCAAAGAATATTAAATATATGATGATTAAATTACTAGTTCCACTTTTTAATGTCTTTTTCATTGTTATTGAGTCAATTGCTGGATGGGAAACATTAACAGGCTTTGTTCTCATAAGTAGCTACTTCCAGCCTTTCAGCTAGATACATGGAACACATAATGGTTTCTAAAGCTTTCCTTAGCTGTTATTACCTCTGATCAATTAGGCAGTCTGTTTCAGAACAGCATGAGCCAGGGTAGTTGAAATTTCTAGTCAATTGGGGTGCCTGGAAGATTAGATCAGGGTCCAGATGATTGCGTCACTATAACCTTATTCTGAGAGGGTAACTACTAGTATATCAGTCCATAAATATACTAATAAATTGTCTTCACCCAGCTCCAGCACATCTTTTAATCCCTCTCCTGCCTCTAATTTATCATCCCAAATTTTTATCACTCGAACATTGGTGGTCTAAACCTCATCCACTCAGACCCCATGTTCTAAAATCCCCTCCCTAAACCTCTCTTTCCTCCTTCAAGATGCCCTTTAAAATGATCTAACTTAAAATTTCATTACCTGTCTTTTATCTTTCTTTATCCATCCCAATTGCCAAGAGGGCAGCTAAGAGTCAATCACGTTGTGCGACTGGAGTCACATGTAGGCCAAACCAGGTGAGGGTGGCAGACTTCCTTCCCCGTAGGACATTAATGAACAAACTGCTCTTCATTGCTAGGTATCAAATTTTGTTTGAAAATGCTTCTAAGAAGCACAGTGTGACATTTTGCAATATTAAAGTCATTGTATAAATACCAGTCGTCTGTTTCTTTGTTGTTGATTAACACCAATAACACGAGAGAAGATTCACAAGAAGTTTTTAATTCAAATGGTTAAATGGCTATACAGCATATTGCTCTGGTTGGCATTTGAAAAAAGGATTATTAACCCTTTTATGGAAAGTAATAAAGGGCACTGGCAAGAGGTGGAAAATTGAGCTTTTCCTGATAGGGAAGGTGGCACAGATGTCAAGAACTTCTGTCTTTTTGTGCTGAAATTTTCAATTGATTAGGAATGAAAATATCAACTAGTTTGGCACTTTCCCATTTCTCCAACTTTATCAGCATCAACATCCTAGTGTGATGATTGGTGACAGGGTTCAAAGATCACACTGTTGGAAAATAAAGCACAAATACAAAGTTCAGGCTTGCGTTCTGAAATACAATTGTATTAATGGACTTGGAATTCTGACGAAATAAAATATCGCACGCACCACACATCAGTTGCTTCTGCCCTCACTTACTTCCCGATTTCAGTTTCCTCATCAAAGAAAGCAGAAGACTGCACAAAGAAAGAGAAGCAAAAAGACAAATTTTCTTGCACAATTCTCATGCTTTATAATTTAAAAGCAGCATAGATTTTTAGCATTTCCACCAGTTCTTAATCAATTAAAATTAAATTATACCCATTGATGAAAACCGACCTCTTTAAAGAACTGATATCAGGTTTTTATATTAATTGATACTACTTCAGGCAAGGGCAAAAATGTGACATCCCAGAAGACATGAGGCAGTCTCTTCAAACAGGTAAGCAGAGAGTGAGAAAGCATGAAGAATTCCCAGTAGGACCTGTTAAGAAGTATTTAAATAACCTTTGAGGCTACGGAGTTTACATACGTTTGTACAGGTTTGTTAGGCCTATACAAAAGTCACCCACTGAATTAGGAGCATCGATCTGTTACGTTTGGTTCAACCTGTCCAATTGTGTACTATTTGTTCTTAACAATAAAGTCAGCATACCTTTTTAGACGGTGATTGGTACAGGGAATAAATTGCAAAAAGAGCAGTGGAGACAAAATGTTTGGAATTATTTTCTTTTTGTTCCCTCACAGGATGTGGGTGTCTAGCCAGGCCATCACTTATTGCTCATCCCTAATTAACCTTGAGAACGTGGTAGTGAACTGCATCTTGAACCACTGCAAGTCACTTGGTGTAGGTACACTCACATTGCTGTTAGGGAGTTGCAGCACTTTGACTGAGTGACACTGAATGAATGAAGATATCTTTCAAAATCTAGATGGTGAGTGGATTGGAGGGGAACTTGCAGGTAATGGTCATGGGTTTGGAAGGTGTTGTTTAAAAAGCTTTGGTGAATTTATGCCATGTATCTTGTTGTTGGTACACACTGCTACAACTGAGTGGTGGTTGGGGAGGGACTGAATATTTTTGGCTGTGATGCCAATCAAACAAGCTGCTTTGTTCTAGATGGTGTCAAACTTCTTAAGTGTTGTTTAAGCTGCATACACCCAGGCAAATGGGGAGTATTCCATTACACTCCTGTCTCGTACCTTATAAATGATGGACAGGCTTTGGGAAGTCAGGAGTGAGTTTCTCGCCACTAGATTCTTGTAGCACTGTATGTATATGGCGAGTTCAGTTCAGTTTCTGGTCAATGGTAACCCCAATCCTGCTGTTATTGGACTGTAACTTAAAACCTTTTCACTATGTTGTAACTGCCTCTGTAAGTGATGCTTATGCTTTCCTTTAATCCTCTTTCTGTAAGACCACCTTTCTTTTAAGTCTGTAAGATTTGTACCTAGGTACTTGTACCAAAGATGGCACCATTAAAATGCAGCCACTGTGAAAACTTTTCACTGTACTCCTATAGTGTAGTACAAGTGACAATAAAGGATATTTTATTCTATTCTGTTTTCTTCAAGAATGTTCACAGTGGGAGTTTTGGTGGTAGTAATGATGGTAATTGAATGATGGTCAGATTCTCTCTTGCTGGAGAGCAACAATTCATGAAGCATTAGACATGAGGGAGAAGCTACATGATATTTGTCGATGGAAAAACTAAAATACCTAAATGATGTTCTTCACCTGTCACTTTTGTGATATTTTCAATGAGTAAGCGCTTGTACACTTTGATAACTGCCTAGAATATTATTTTCATTTCACGAGTACTTCTGAAATATTAATTTAGTATTTATCAATATTTAACGTCACAATAGTGCTACTTGAATAAACTTGTTTAACAGACTTAACTGATTAGCACAAAATGGGCCCGGAACAATATTAGAAAAGTCACTGTTAATCACATTTCACTGGTACATTTGACTCAGTAATTACTTGCCCGTTGGGCACCTTCCTCCATAATGTATCAGTCTGCCATTGAAGAGGTTGATCTAGGGATTTTCTCAAACAAACACCATTTACAAAACTAACTATTCTTACAAATTCTTATTCATGCTTCCCATTAATAAGAGAATATTCTGGACAGCAGGTCAGATGATGGATGGGCTAATGTTGATGTCTTAACAGACTATTATTTTAACTGTATAAATCCATGTCATCCCTCCATCCTGAAAATCCTTCCCTCAATCTCTCTGTTCTCGCAACTTACTTCCTGATCTCTATCCTACCTTTCCGCACCGAAGCCATTGAACATGTAGACTCCACCTCAACCTCTGATTGGTCCCTACTACTCCAAATGAACCTCTTGGACTAGGTGCTCACTTCTGCTACAGCGCTGATAATGGCCATTATCAAAGTCACACATTATGTCCCTTGTGATGTAACTATCACAAACCTTGTTATAGCCTTTGATGGAATTAATCACATAGTTTGTCTTCATTGTCCTGCTCAGTGGAATAGTCCTCCCCTGGTTCCAACCTTTCCAATCTGGATGGTGAGTGGATTCCAATCAAATCATGGTCAAATCATTTCTATCAGTAGTTTCATTTGATGCACTACACACTAAAACCTTCAGTGTTCGTCCAAAATGTCTCCTCTGCTTCATCTACATGTTGTTCTCTAGCAACATCATTTAAAGGACTGAAGTCCACTTTCACAGGATGCTCTGCCTCAGTCACAGGCCACCTTCCGTAAACATCAGCTTATTCCAAACTCCATTGCCAGTACTCGATTGCATAGGAAGTCCTGTACACGGTCTTTGGTTTTTGATCCACCAATGGAGATCAGCAATGCTTCATGTTTAAAATTCTGCTGTGTTTAATGAATATCTTCATTGTATTGCTTCAATTTTTGTGGCCTTTTTCTTGAACATTCCCTTCACTCTAGCATATGTGGCCATGCCTTCAGTCACCCAGACCATGCAGGAACTTCTTCCCAATGCCTGCACCTTAAAATTCACCTTTTTCACTCACCATTTGGTTACCCCATTTTGGTTTAGCATCCATATTTTTCATACACAGTCTGCAAAGTAACTATTGCTGAGTTTCTGCCATCAAAGTAGGATATCAAAGGAAAAATTGTTCCTGACTGTTGAGGTGGAATGTTTGCTGTTACCTCTCTTGCCTATCAGCTGTCTGCTGTGCCTCCAAATGATGTACATCCTGCCTGAGAGCAGTACTTCTCTATTCCATAGCAGCAAGGCAGACTATGAATGTGGACTAAGGAGTGACTTCAAACCAGAATCCGGAGTGGAGATTTAATTGTCAGTTGTTGTCACACTAGTAAAAACCACATAGCTGGGGAGGGCATTGGACTGAACAAACAAGTTATTGCTATTTTCAGGGTAAATTGTTTACTATGCTCCATTACATGTTTAATTGATCATTTATTCTTTATAATGTTATTATTCAGATAAATGAAGATTGTCCTTTTAAAAATAGCTATTTGAATCCTGAGATTAGAGGACAACCAACTCTCATTAGCTATTTTAAGATGGATGGTTCTTATGGTTACAAGTAGAAGATAACTTTCATATATTAGGTGTTAGTTGAACAGCAGCTTTTTTCCAGCTGTTTCTTATATTTCAGGAGCCATATTCTTCTACTTGTTTCACTCTCATAACCTATAATGATCTTGATGATCTAGACTAGTACAATAAAAAGTATTTACTTTTAAAATGAGTTCATTTGCTCTCAGACATTGGTTATCCCCATCATTTATTCTAGCTGAACCAGGCAGCAATATAAACGTCAGAGTTTCCCCTCATACAGTCTTATGCAATTTATGCACTAAATCTTGTGTTTCTGTGTTGCAGATTACTAATACTTCCTAAAAAAAAAGCATTTTCACTTGCCTTTTCTGG